GAACAAGCACAATGTCCAGTCCTGCTTTGATAATCAGCTCCCACACTGCCATGATTTCCCTAACTCCACTACTCTGATAACATAAAATCAATGAGCCCCCCACTGGAGTGTGAAACCAAACTGCCATAGGTAGGATCTGTATGCAGTGTTGTTGTAGCCATGTCTGTCCCAGGATATTAAGAGACAAGGTGGGCGGGTTCATATCTTTTTATTGGAACAACTTCTGTTAGTGAGAGAGACAAGCTTTCGAGCTCTGTGTAGCTTGAAAGCTTGTCACTCTCACCAACAGAAGTTGGTCCAATAGAAGATATCTCACCTACATAGACGCCGACTCCATAGGTGCTCCGGGGCTGGAGTGGAGGCAAGGCCTTGGAGGAAGGGGTGGAGTGGGGGCGGGGCCTGGTGCAGGGCAGGGGGTCAAGCACCCCCCAGCACATTAGAAAGTTGGCACCTGTGCTCACCCACTTTGTCTCTCTAATATGTAGGATCTAGTAATTAGGCTATTTTAACTATTGCACAGCTTCAGCAACAAAGAACATTGACATCTTGTTAATGTATAACAATGTTTTATTTGAAAAACATGTAGTATATATGATTTTTAAAAAATGCACTTACCTTACACCAGAACCTCAGATAGGTCAGCTCCATGCTCAGACTGGGTTCCATGGCTGATGTGATATTAACATAAAGGTTCATGCCACGGAACCGCAGCACAACTGTATGGGAAAGAACTTATCTGTCTTACCTATGCCTGTTTGTAACAATCTCCAGCTTTCATTAAGAACTAGCCTGTAATAAGCCACATTTTTAAAAGCATCAATTCTAGGAATTTTCCAAAGATCATAAATTCACAAGAGAGCTGGAATAGTAACATGTTCCAGGAAAAGGAAACAATTCTGAAAAATTGCAGCTTCTTCTTTTCCAGCTTTTTTTTTTTTTTTTAAATCTATAAAATCACCCCAGCATTTGGCAGTTTCAGGACTGCATGAGTCATATCCTTGCTAACTGGAATACTTAAGTAAGCTTGTTCAGCATTAGGTATGTTTGTAAAGAAGTGAGTAAATAGTAATTGGAAATGAAAAACTTAGATTTTTTTAGAACATTTTTCTTCTCCCACCATTCTCTAGTGACCTGACCTGAAATAACTGCATTTATGTTACTGCACTGATATGTTTAATATCTTCAGACTGAATAACCTATTGGGATCCACTAAAAAAGACCCCTGCTACATTGGTGCCAAAATTAGATCACTCTAACCTCTTTCCATATGAAAACTGCAATTGTTAGAGGTATGCAAAGTTCGTAAAGTTTAAGGTCTCACTGGCAGTTGAGTATGTACACTCAGAGAGACAGAACTTGGCATTCAAAATTTCTGAGATGAAATACAATATAAAATCACCTTTAACATAATTGCCTAAAATCTTCTTTTGTATATAGTATTACTTTTAGAATGGATTTTTTTTTAGCAGAATAGTTCAGTCATAAAACTCTAAATAGTAGAGGAAAAGAGCACAAATCATGAGCAAATCTTTTCATATAAAATGTAATTGGTATTAAATCATTTAGCAGTGTTGTTGCTTTAAGAAAAACCCAGGGTGTCAAGACTACATAGTGTGACAAAGTTCCTCCTCTATTTTGGTGGGTCCTGCGCTTATTGGCGGATTTGCTCGCCTCAGAGATCTTCCCCTCTGGTGGAACCCACAGTCCGGGTCAACTCCTCCTGTGTCTGATCAGGAGGTGGGAGGTTTGGGGGGAACCCAGGCCCGCCTTCTACTCTGGGTTCCAGCCCAGGTCCCTGTGAATTGCAGCTGTCTATAGTGCCTCCTGTAACAGCTGCATGACAGCTACAACTCCCTGGGCTACTTCCCCATGGCCTCCTCCAAACACTTTCTTTATCCTCACCATAGGACCTTCCTCCTGGTGTCTGATAATGCTTGTACTCCTCAGTCCTCCAGCAGCATAGCTCACCCTCTCAGCTCCTTGCACCTCTTGCTCCCAGCTCTTCGCACATGCACCACAAACTGAAGTGAGCTCCTTTTTAAACCCAGGTGCCCCGATTAGCCTGCCTTAATTGATTCTAGCAGCTTCTTGATTGGCTGCAGGTGTTCTAATCAGCCTGTCTGCTTTAAAATTGTTTCCAGAAAGTTCCTGATTGTTCTGGAACCTTCCCTGTTACCTTACCCACGGAAAAGGGACCTACTTAACCTGGGGCTAATATATCTGCCTTCTATCACTCTCCTGTAATCTCCAGGTCCTGTGGACCCCCCTTAGGCCCACTTCCTAGATCCCAATAGGATCACTCTCCTGTAGTAGCCATCTATAAAACCAGGGTGAGGAGGTTGGCCGATGGAGTCTCCTGTGACTGTGGGGCCTATTTCAGGTCCTCCGTTCGTTCACGTATCCGGGCAGGTTTTCTCTGGGCGGCATCTGCTGGCTCCCTTGACGCCTTCGAGGAGCAGTGGGCTCTGTCTGAGGTTCTCTGCTCGGTGTCCCCGTCTGGTTCGCTTCGTTTGACCCTTTGACCTCACTCCTGTCCCTGTTCTTTTATTAGTTGTCCCCCGTAATTTTTGGGTCTCCAGGTCCTGTGGACCCGGCCCCCCCCCCCCCCTTGGCTGGGGGGGGGGATCCTTTAGCAGTGGGCGGGCTTTGCCTGCCCACTTCCTGGATCCCAATAGGATCACTCTCCTGTAGTCACAGACTTGTGGATCCTCCCCTTAGGCTGAGGGGAGGTCCTTTTGCAGTGGGGGGGCTTTGCCCGCCCACTTCCTGGATACCAACAGGATCACTCTCCTGTAGCCATCTGGCCTGACCCTGTCACAATAGTTACTCTGATTATGTAAAAGTTTATTATTTCATGCTTTAATATTTTTTTAAAATACCCATTGGTAGAAAAACAAACAGTTTCTCTTCAGAAGGCTAATCTGACTGAACCATACTTTACACACTGTGAGTAGCCTCTTGGTTATCCTCAGTTTTCTACAGTTTCATTTTCCTACAAATGGATTTGCAAAGTTCAGTGGATCTAATTTTGTTCATTTGTCAGATCCTTTAGTTTTTCTTCTTTTATTTGGTATTTTCTTGATTATTTTTTTCTTTTTCAGCTACCTCCATTTTGGTTTTACTCATTTTGCTGGTGATGAAATGTCTTTGAGCTGCTATTCTCAAAAACATGTGCGTTCATGTTAGTACATATATGTAAATTAAAGTGAGCTATTTTTGATTGTGCATTCTAATTACCAATATAAAGGAGGGGGAAAAACAGCGTTTGGCTAAATGGAAAAAGACCGGATCAGTGGAATAAAAGATCCCAAATTAATTGAAGTTGAAGGGAGTTTCCATTGATGTCAATGGGCTTTGAATAAGAACCTTATCTAAAGAATTCCAGATTTATTGCAGGTGGCGAGACCACAGTACTCCAATACCATAGGGAGGAGGAAACCGAGAATTTACAATATTTGTCATGCATTCAGTGCAATCCCACTGAAGACAACAAGATTACACTCCGTGTATGTCAGCATAGAATTTGTCTCAAAGTTCTTACCTTGCCCACATTCCATATCTTAAGTATTTTATATTATTCATTATGCTGTTTAATGTATGGATCCAGTTTTGCTTTCAAATTTGTACATACAAGGACTACACTGTGAGATAATGCTCTGCCCTAAATAAGGGGCAGCACATTATTACATGCCCGTTAAGCATCCCAGGAAAAAAGATTGTGACTCAGACACAATTCCCCTTCTTGTTTTCCTACTGCTCTGGGAAGAGAGTAAACTGCCCCAGGTATAGACCCAGTAGAAGGTATGCTACCCCGTGTGCTGGGGAGATTGGAGCTGAGATTCTGCCTGTTCCCCACCCCGTCCTGTCCCCATACTCCATGAGGAAGTAAGCAGCAGCCCTATGGAACCTACTTTCATGTCTGTGCTGCTACCTGATGTTGTTAGCCAGCAGAGAAATGTAAGGGGGCACCTTGGTCTCCTTTAGGCCTCTGTGCTGCACTAGCTGGGGTAAAATTTGGTGCTAAATAACTTCAGTGAGAGTTGCCTAGGTTAATTTAGTATAAATCTTGGGTCCTACAAGAAGAATGGGGTCAAAGTTAAAGGTTACAGTGAATATCTTATCTTTTGCAATTCCTAACATTTTTAATTTTAAAAGTGTAACCTCATCATCAAATTTGTGTATTTAATTCTAACCTCACAAAAGTGTAACATACTTCCAGTTGAGCAGAGTTTAAAATATGGGGAAGATTAAGGAAGTGAAGGGCACAAAATAGCTTTTTTTGTATATCCACTTTTAATGAAAAAAATACTGTATGAATAGAAATGGAAGTATAACAAAGGATTTTCAATTGATTTAGGAAAATACAGTGATAAGTAGAGCAAGGAAAAACAGACATTTTAACTCTCAGTTATTCATATATCACTGAACTGCTTAGTACCTACCCTCAGTCATTTCTGTTCCAAAACAGCCTACAAAATAAAAACAAAATATATGGTACTTTTACTGAAGTATTCTCCATTAGCAACCATAAAGTCTTATTTATTCACCACTGTAGTGTCCATACATTACTTTTCCATTTCTTGCATGCCAAAAAGTACAAATGAATTTTAAAAAGAAAAGAATTTCTAGCCAAGTATATGGCGGTGGAAAGAAAACGTTCTTATCTGTTTCTTCACAATTTAATAACTTGAAAATGATTACTGGTAATACAATTCTTTGATTAAAATGATCGGTTAGTGCTATTTTAATGAAAGTATTTTTTTTAAAAATGTGCAATCTTTTAGAATTTATAAAACAACCTAAAGTTGACATTATCAACATGCCAGATACCTGGAGCATAATCTTGAGACACAGCCAGATTAGATTTAGGACAATTTCCAAACATTTTAGGCATGAAAAAAATAAAAACGAAAAAGAAAACTAAACTAAAATAGAAGCACGAGTGTGTTCCAGTGTTCCATATATTAAAACTGCCCCTGCTGTATGTCTTAGCATGGTCCAACTCCCAACATAGAGACTATTTATATCAGTTTCTAGTGTGTCCATATCTTCTTAAATTGGAAGAAATATCTTTAGAAAAGAAATCTGATCTACTAGAACATACAATGGGGCTAGATTAGCTTCAATTATGTTACTTGAAATAAAATATCCATTATATTAAGCTACCGGCTGGCAAGCATTAAATCAAATATAGACTTTTATATATTCTGTATTTCTAGTGAAGTGTTACAACAGAACCTTTTTTTAAAACCTCTTGGCCAGCACAAAACAAAGACTGGATTTGACTGCCTCTTATTGGTTAGTTGAGAGTTATGAAGAGCCCTGTCTCTTTTGGTATTGTATTCTAAGCTTTTCCAGTTGCTCTGCACATTGCGTCTGAGCCAGTTTCAATGTCCGATTCTCCTCTGTCAGTTCTGCATATTCCTTAGTCAGCTGAGCAGCATCCATGCTCTCCTTTTCTGCCTGTTCCAGTCTGGCAATCAGCTCCTTTCTGAGGATTAAGAAAACAGGAAGATAAAAGTTGAAGTATGTAAGTGCCATTACCCAGGATACGCTTTTGGACATCACCTATGGTCTTGGTCCCTAGGAAAGACAACACTATAAGGTTTTGTGTTCATTATAGAAAATGTAATGCTGTTACAGTACCAGATGTATATCCCATGCGTAGAACTGATGATATACTGGACATTTTAAGCAAAGCTAAATATCTCAATTCTTTTGATTTAACTCAAGGTTACTGGCAGATCCCTTTGGATGAGGATGCACAGAAAAAAATCTGCTTTCATCACCGATATAGGACTCTAGGAGTTCACAGTGTTACCATTTGATTTAATTAATGCTGGAGCCACCTTCCAGAGGCTGGTAAACCAAGCGTTAAATGGTTTACAGACCTTTGCAAGAGCATGTGTGGATGACACTACAGTATTTAGTAACACTTGGGCTGATCACAAAGAACACTTGGGAACTGTGCTGTCAAAACTCAAAGAGGCAGGCCTAACTATAAAAGCCTCTATAAAAGCCTCTGTAAAACTGAAGTAGCCAGAGTTCCTTATTTGGGACACTGGGTAGGGGAAGGTCAAACATCTCTATGCTTTGAAAGTTGAAGCTATTGTAAATTGGCATATATTCCAAACCAAAAAATAAATCCAGTCTTTCTAGGTCTGGTAAACTATTACAGGCGGTTTGTGTGTGGTTCTGGTGACATTGTCTCTGCCATCACAGATTTATGTAAAAAGACCAAGCTAAACAAAGTCGGTTGGATGAAAGCATGCCAGGAAGGATTTGATAAGGTAAAGAACATTTTGTCTGAAAAGTCTGTTCTAGCTAGCCCTGATTTTGATAAAATGTTTGAACTGTGTAAAGATGCATCAGACGTTGGTCTGGGTGCTGTGCTGATGCAAACAGGGGAGAATAACATGAAATACGCAATTGCTTTCTTAAGCAAAACATTTACATCAACTGAATAGAATTAGTCTGTCATAGAAAAGGAATGCTATGCTATAGTGTGGGCAGTTAAGCAACTATCCTGTTCAAAAGAACAGGCCCTACCTGTTCAATAGAAAATTCAGGGTCTTAACAGATCATTAGTCATTGATTAGGCTAAACAAACCTAAAGGCTCAAATTCCAAGCTTCTACACTGGAGCCTCTTCAGGATTTTGATATGGAAATTGTGCACATAAAGGGAAAAGACAACATGGCAGCAGATGCCATGTCCAGGAAAGAGGGCCCTGACCAACTGCCTCTGGGTTAGCCACAGCTTTGTAAGGGGGAGGTGTGACGGTCTGTACCCCAATGTTCACCCCTTTTACAGGACTATGATAAATTTTGTACAACAAGTATGCCTTTGAAGAGGCATCATTTGAAAACTCATAATTTGCTGATCATTATTGTACTGGTAAAATATGTATGGGAACATTGTATGTAAAGTTATAAGATTCTACTGTATGACACTACTAAGGCCTTGTCTACACTACACAGTTTTGTCAACAAAAGTCAGGCTTCATTGACAAAACAGTGGAGGTGTACACACAATTCTCCTTCCACCAATTTAATTCTCCTGCTACACCAACATAATAAAACCACCTTGATGAGCGGCACAGAGCTTTTTGAGACAAAGTTAGAGTGACACATTGTCAGTGTAGACACTGTGCTTGTTTACGTCGCCCTAAGGGGAGTCCAGGTGGTGTCCCACAATGCCCATCATGACCGCTTTGGTAAGCAGTTTCTACTCTGCTGCCCTACAGCCAGGTACAGAGGCCTGCACTCCTCCCCCTTTAAAGCCCTGGGAATTTTTGAAATTCCACTTCCTGTTTGCTTGGCCTGGACAGCTCACATCACATCTTCCCAGCCAACCATGCTGGCTTTCCGCAGCAAACATGCTCCCATCTGGTGTACACAGGAGTTGCTGGATTGGTTGGGTCTGTGAGGAGAGGAGGCTGTGCAGTTGCAGCTCCGATCCAGACATAGGAACTTTGACACCTACGAGCAGATTGCCCGTGGCATGGATGGGAAGGGGCACGAAAGGGGTATGCAGCAGTGCCATGCTAAGATCAAGGAGCTGAGGCAGACATACCAGAAAGCAAGGGAGGTCGACCGTCACTCTGGTGCGGTGCCAAAAACATGCCACTTCTACAAGGAGCTGCTCGCCATCCTCGGCAGCAACCCCACCTTCACCGCCAAGAGCCCCAGGGATACTTTGAGGGGACTGGAGGCTGCGGCCAGTGGAGTCATTCCCAAAGACTAAGTTGTGGATGAGGAGGTCAAGTTGGAGGATGATGTGGAACAAGCAACAGGCTTGTCCTGTGGCATGGCGAGGTGAGCCAAGACCTCTTTTTGACTCCAGAGGGATCTACCCAGTCACAGCGGTCCGGCTCTAGTGTGCCTGAAGCAAGAGAGGGGAGCTCCGGTAAGTACTCATTTTGCTTTGATAGTGCATGGTTATATGAGCTAGAGGTGTCCTTTATTTTGTTACATGGTGCACATGGGAGAAGAGATTAAAATTAACAACACTTGGTATTGTTTCATCTGCTTCTTGCTCCCCTGTGCAGCTACGCAGTGGGGGCGCTGCAGAAAAGTTTGTTAATGCACACCAAGATCTCCTGGGAATCCTCCATAGTGATCTCTAGGAAACTTTCCTGCAGATACGCTACAATCCTTTGCCGAAGGTTCCTTGGCAGAACTGCTTTGTTTCTTCCCCTGTTGTAGGAAACTTTGCTGCACCAATTGGCAATTACTTCTGGAGGCACCAAAGCAGCACACAGGTAGCAGCATATAGAACCTGTTGGAAGCCGCACGCATGCAGGAAATGCACCCCTGCATCTTTGGTTACCCTCAGTAGTGTGATTTCAGCTTCAGTTGCCCCCGCCTGTGGAAAACGGTGCCAGTATTCAAAATAGTGTCCTTAGGCGCTTGTACTGATCCCCTTCTGAAACCACCCAGACCCTTTCCACCATCCCCTCCCCACATCCCCCCGGCCAAACTCACCATGTTTAGTGCTCTGTTTAGTGCGTGCTTGTCAAGGAAAATTAATAATGAAAGTTACATACACCTCTTTCTCAAAGACAGTGAGTGCACACACAATACTGACTTTGTGTACTGTTTCTTTTGCTTCTGCAGATGTGTGCTTGAGGGCCAGCTCCTACACACCAGCGGAACACCTCCATCAGATAAGGAAGCAAATGAGGAGGAGTAAGGAGGACACGTTTCATGAAGTGCTGCAATTGTCAGATCAGGCTGATAGTGAGCACAGAGCATGGTGAGAGACAAACAAAAAGTAGAAATGAATAGCCAGGAGAGGGGACAGGGCCAGGAGCGGATAATACAGGGTCAGGAGCAGATAATAAAGCTCACGGAGGACCAAACAGAGATGCTTGGGTCCCTGACTGCACTGTAGTGCTCAATTCCCTGCCTTCCATGCTCTTCCCAAACTCTCCCCATACATTCCTTGCACTTCCTGGCCTGCCACGGTACCCCTGGCACTCCACCCGCAGGGACATCTCCCATAATGAAATCTGGACTTACACCCAGCTGTGAGATCCTCACTTCAGAGAGTGCTGCTCACTGTCATGTCCCTTGTAAGAAATGTTAATCTGGGCATTGCTGTTTAATAAAAATTTAGTCTTACAAATTCAGTGTTTCTTTATTTGTGACCTATGCAAGGTGGTTGCAACAGAAATTCATACACAGTGGTAATCGCCACATTTGCAGACTACAATTAATGCTCAGGCAGGAATCATTACAGGGGTCATTCAATGTGGCAAGTAAACAATGCTTGGCTCAATTCATTACTGAAAGACACATTGCTGGGGATCATTGTCAAAATGCTGCTTCAAAGTCTCCCTGATTCGAATAGCCCCCCACTGAGCCCCTCTAATAGTCCTGGTGTCTGACTCCTCAAAATCAGCCACCAGGTGATCCACCTCAGAGCTCCACCCCTGGGCAAACTTTTCCCCCATGGTTTCACAAATATTATGCAGAGCACAGCAGGCTGCTATGACTCTGGAAATACTTTCCTCGTTGAGGTCTAACCTGCCAAAAAGGCAGCGCCAGTGACCCTTTCATCTGCCAGACGGGCATTCTTGGTTATTCTGCACTTGCTGAGTTAGTTGTTGAAGCGCTCCTAATGGCTGTGGTGTATGGTTTCATGAGCCATGAGAGTAAGGGGTAGGCTGGGTCTCCCAGGATCACTATGGGCATTTTCACATTCCCTATTGGAATCTTTTTGTCTTGAAAGAAAGTCTCTGCATGCAGCTTTCTATACAGGCCAGTGTTCCTGAAGATGCTTGCGTTACACACCTTCCCTGACCGCCCTGCACTCATGTCAGTGAAACGACCCTGGTGATCCACCAACACTTGCAATACCATAGAGAAATAGCCGTTTCTGTTGATGTACTCCATCGCAAGATGGTCTAGGGCCAAAACAGGGATGTGTGTGCCATCTATCGCCCCACCGCAGTTAGGGAATCCCATTGCCGCAAAGCCACCCACTATTTCCTACACATTGCTCAGAGTCACAGTCCTTCATAGCAGAAGGTGATTAATGGCTCTGCACACTTCCCAGCTCCAAACTGATTGGCAACTGACTGGTAGCAGTCTGGAGTTGTCAGCTTCAACACAGTGATCAACACATGCTTTTCCACCGTTAGGGCAGCTCTCATTTTCATGTCCTTGAAAGCTCCACACAGAGTTCAAGGAAGGTGGCTTTGCGCATATGAAAGTTATGCAGCCGCTGCTCATCATCCCATATCTGCATCACAATCCAATCCCACCACTCGGTGCTTGTTTCCCGAGCCCAATAGTGATAGTCCACCGGATGCAGCTGCTCGATGAATGCCAACATCAATTTTGAATTGTTTCTTTCCATGGTACATAGCAGGGCAGGCACCACGGATTCCTGTTCAGATTCACAGCTCATGAAATACTGCAGGATCAGCCTCTTTGTGTTCACAAAGCTCATCACAAGTCAGGTGATCAGTGCAGGATCCATGCTT